TCACGTGCAGAGACAATTCCCGCAACTGTTCCGTAAATTATTATTGCACTGTGAGCATTTTTGAGATCAAGTTTGCTTCCAAGAAGCTATTATGGTACATGCTCTCCAAATGCCTTACCCCACGCCACTACTGTACACACGGTGTCTGCCAGCAAGATTCCTAATGTGCATCTAACCGAGGCATCCTACTCACACGCTGTTTGTCAGCAACTTTCCCAATGTGCGTCAAAACAGGCATCCTACTCTGTGATTTTCGTAAGTTGCCCGATCCTGTTTCCAAGAAGCACAGACATAGAAGCGAATGCTCCCTTCTGGAAGATGAGGATGTTCAACGACCCTCCATACGCAAAGTGACCCAACTTCTCACCCTTCTCCACTTCAACTGGCCTCCCACCGGGTTTCACATATGTCGACTTCTTCCCAACCAGTGATGGCGTGATTCGACTGATCGTGTTCAACCCAACGGGAATCATTCCCACGTACCCATACTCCTTCGTTTCGATCACATAGTACGCCCTATGGAAGTCTTCAAAGATGCTGAAGTCCGTATCACTCTCACCGATATTGAACGTGTCGTTGAACCAATGCTCCCCGTCGACAATACCATTGTATATACCAGCTATATCCATGCCCTCAACAATTTTTCCGCTGACGGGTGAATGGTAGTGATGATATACTCCAGGCATCAACACCGCGGATACAGCAGTGCCGCCCTCGAAGTACTTTGCATACTCTGAGCGGTTGAGAAGCTGATTTATGTTCAGCTGCCTGTTCTTTACGTTTAGTTGGGTGCTGAGTGTCAGATCCATCTGGATGAAGTTGATAATCGTGTCAGCAGATGCTGCCACAATACTCTCATCCTCAGGCTGAGCAATCGGCCTGGGATTCTTGCTCATGTCTAGCTCTCTGATGAAAAACTCGTTAAAGGACTTGAATCCGCCCCGCGGGACAATGAATTCTTCAATTTTAGTAGCAGGATCTTCCATCCACTCCTTGACGTACATGAGCGAGTCTGATGAATCCATGAAGCGGCCATGCTCCACGATAAACTCCACTGTCCAATTGAAGATTTCCCTTGTGAAACCTTGTGCGCTCCCGCTCTTACTCTTGAAGGTATTCAGAAAGTAGTAGGCGTTTGTGTTGTTCAGGTAAAACCACGTAAATGGCATGATGAAACCAAGACCACCAGCAGGCTTCGGGAGATATGTGAACCAATACTGAAAGTAATGAATGAAGTTTTCGATGGTAAAATACTTAAAGGGATTCTCCTTGCCCGACTCTATGGTAGGGTTTACATGCGCAATAGCGTCGTTGAAGGCTGCTTCTACCACTGGATTTTCGCAGATGGCCTCCAACTGGTCCATTAACATCAGCATTCGCTTTGTCAGCGGTGGTTGGTCCTTGAATCTTTCTTCGAGTTTTTTCATGGCTTCATCTGTTATGTTAACCATTTTGCAGAGAAGATGTGCGAGTTAGTGAATATGAATATTTTTTCAACACACGGAGAACTGTTGCGTGGGGAGAGGCCGATGTGCTTAGCCAACTCTTCATTTCGGGAGAGAGACCTTTGCTCTTAAATACTGGTGAGAGAAGCAGAGCGACTCCCAACAATCTCATTATATGACATTCTCGTTTCAGTAGCCTTGTCTAACCCCTGCAGCTGCGTGTGCGACATCTACATTTATAAGTGTGAAGACCAGAGATGTTGCAGGAGAAATTTGATGCTTCTATCCTCGGCGAGCTGGAGATATTAGTGCTTGTTGCAACACTCTGTCAGAAACCACGGCCGAGGCCGCTTCTCTCCGCAGTATCTGCCGACACTCTGCATCCAAGAGAAATATGGCCTGAACAAGAGTCTGGTACAAATTAGAAACCCTTGCAAATCGCCTTGAGCAGACATGATGGATGCACCGGTGGCGTGCAAGAATATTATTATATTTTACTGGCATGTACCATAAAGGGTAATTAAAGAGGCAAATAGGTTCGTCCATCAATACTATCGAGCCTTTCAGGTCATGTCCTTATGCAGCGATTCCGAGAAGTATGCGAAGCACTGTACAAATCTGTACTCGAGATGCTCGAGATCCAGAAAGTGCATACTGAACGTGGCTTTGAGATGGATGCAACTGCTTCCGCGAGTTCCGGCGAACCAATCCCTCCAGGGGATTTACACGTCTTACCGCTGCAACAATAAATCTTCTTCCACCGGACGATTGCGACAAGTGACGCGATGTGCAACCAGTAGTACTCATACGTGAGAAGTAATATTCAGGAGAGGGTGCCAGCGTTGAAGACAGCCTTCAACTCGGTCTGCATTTCTCGTGCATTAGGGGGCTAAAGGAAGTAGCATACTGACGGCTAAGAGCTTTCTAGCCCTCGAGAACTAAAGCTTTGCGTGCTTCTGGCGGGGCTGAGACCTCCCGCAATATCTCCAGCCGGCCGCATACCTTGCACCTTTGGTTATAATAAAAATGGATGTTAAATGTTGTACGCAAGGAACGACTTCACGCTTTTAACCGATAAAGAGCAAATTGGTTAAACAAGTTTCAGCAGAAGTTACCACTCCCTAAAAGCATTATTTGGTAAAAAGGCTAATTTGGTGATTCAGTTCTCGTTGCCCCCACTGTACGAAAACACGCCGCTGAGGTAAACTCGTTGCGGACAATGGGTACAGTCATTCATCCCTGGACTCCGGGGAAACGCTCCGGGGCCTGGAGCGTTCACCACGTCTACAGTTCCCCGCAATGTTGCCTCCTCGCCTCTCCCCGTCCCGCCAAAAACCAACATGGAGGGCACAAGCATCTCCAACAGACAGAAATATTTTCTGCGTAGGAAATATCTCCAGCACAGACAGACATATTCTGTCTGTATAAGAAGCATCCCAGCGGGAGTGGCAGGAGTGCCACTCTGGTAGGGCAAACTCTTTGCTTTCCATTGCGGCTATTTCGGAAAGAAGTGATAACACATTTTCTTTACGTCTAATTCTGTTCTCTGCCACATTTACGCGCTTGCGGTACGCGCTGATGTCCACTTGAGAGGGCTTGTTAGTTTTTATGGCCTCTGCTTTTGTCACATCTGGAACAAAACGGAGGAAAGAACCAATGAATCCTTCGGTTCTATCAAGTTTCTCAAGCGCTTCCCTCTTTTCCATAGAATTAAATAATTAAAATAATCGTGCGCATCGTTGCACACGTATGTCCTCCAGCCCGGACCACAGTATCCAACTTTTTTCCTTTTCTCACTTCCTTTCACCCCCCTACCCGAGACGGGTATTGCACTACACCCTTTTGCTGTGTATGAGATAAAAGGGTGAAGTCGTTTCCTATTTCTGTTTGCTGGAGGTGCTCCAAGAGCTAAATAGACACGTGAATCTTCATGCATTTTAATGAAATCTAAATTCTAGCAGTACTGCCTTGTGTCAATACTTAACATAGGGCTTCTTGACGGACTTGAATAATGGACAGTTGCAGAAGAGGGACTGCTAACGACAGAGACTGTGAGGCCTTAGGGGAAAAGTTCTCGCGACATCTCAGTCATCGTTGACAAGAAGTTATCATAGCGCGGTCTGGGGCGATGTTGGGATTGTGGATGACCAATGCACCAACAGCTACCGTAAACTTTTGAGTGGCTGCATTTTAATGCGAAGGGCGGAACAGTCTGTGGCAAGTTATTCAGCATCAGAGGAGTTAAGATGGTGAGCGCGTCGCATCTCTTTTTATTGTCCTTTTTCCTTTCTTCCCGCCTCTTTCTTTTTGTCCTTCTCTCGCCTTTTGTAATATTTGCACAGAACCTCGTCTGCTCCGCGTAAATGAATCAATGTTACATCGCCCACTGAGAACTCCACGCCAGAGCCCTTGCACTTATCGCAGGCAGTCGGCACATCGGTCCCGCTCCGCACTTCGTCGCGTCATATCGCCACGTGCCTTACTCTCATCATATCGCCGCAAACAGTGTTTGCAAGATCCGCATTCACTGTACACACGGTGCCGACCAATTGGGTTCTCCTCCAAGTTCTCCTTTGGCAAAAAGAAATAACCACAACAGTACGGTGTCCAAAAAGTCTAAACTGCAATACAGGTATGCTCGACGCTACATTCTACCCTTCCAGGAAAGTATAATTTGGTAACATATTTTTTAAATTAACTTAAAAACTACTTCCCCATGCCCAAATGAGGTCAGACTGGTGGTGGTGGATGCTCTGCGTTTGCCATCCAACCGGGAGGAGATACAGAATCTCTAGCCGTACTGGATCAGAGAAACTCCGAATTTTCTTTTATTGGTGCGGCATTACACAGAGTTTTGGAAAAAGGTCTATTTGATAATTTCACTGGCACCAGAGAGACCAAGTAACGCGCACGGGACAACGACGATGGAGAATGGTGAGGAGATGACGCAACTTGGGGAGGGGCCTTCGTGCGCCTTTGGGACCGGAGTTGATCGTGCACACTTCTTGGTTGAGTTGACAGACAGGCTTTGAGGCCTTGCCACTTTTCATGCGTTCCAGACTTTTTTTGTTCTCTCAGCTTTTTCGCTTCTGCTTTCTGTTCTTTCTGCGTTTCTCTTTGTTTTTGCCGGCCAGCCTTCTCCTCCGCCTTTTGTCGCTGTAGCCGATCCTCCTGAATTTTTTTCTGCTTCCTGCGCGCAATAAAATCGCCAAATGTCCGACAAATTGCCGGCGTCCCCAGCTGAATCGTTTCTTTCTGCCCGTGTGACTCTTTTCTATTGGTCCTTGTGGTCTGGGAGCACTTGCATTCATAAGAATCTTGTTAACGCTATCATGATTTTAGGAGCATCTCTGCCCCTTTTATTGCAAGTGAAGCGGACTTTTCGTTGTTGACAATTTCCTTCAGCTTTTCGAAGACGAAGAGGCAACATTGCGGGGAACTGTAGACGTGATGAACGCTCCATTCCCCGGAGCGCTTCCCTGGAGTCCAGGGATGAATGACTGTGCCCATTGTCCGCACTGAGTTTACCTCAGCGGCATGCTTTCGTACAGTGGGAGCAACGAGAACTGAATCACCAAATTAGCCTTTTTTACCAAATAATACTTTTCTGGAGTAGTACACCCCGCGTCTCAAAAGTGAGCAATGACCAGACCCAAGACGGTTGGCAGGCCATTCTAGTCAACTGTACACTCAACCACCGGTTGCAGTGGCAGTGGTGGGCTGCGGAATATGCTCCAAGAAAAGGACAAGGGATATACTGTACAGTTACTGTACAACAGTAGTACAATTCAGAAATTGAAGCAAAGTCAAGTACTGTATTGAAGTGCGACTGCACTCGCTGGTGATAAACACATGAAGGGTTCTCGGTTCATTCGGTTTTTCTCGACGTCACGCAAGAAGGCCAAGCCCTTCTTCATGACGAGGGCCCACTGTGGACGGGAGGTCAGAAGCGGTACACTCCGCTCCGCCGAATACTGCACTGCACAGTGCAGTATCCGAGTTAGCCAAGGGTTTTTGCTATTGCAGAGCTCATTCATGTACCCTTCACAGTACCCTTGGGGTACTGTGCAATCGAAGGAAGTCCAGACCAAGCATTCGCTCAAAAGGATATTGAATAAAGGAACTTCCAGTCCAAGCGTGACAGCTACAGTAGACGTTCTCGGAGACAGCATTCGCTCAACAGGACATTGAATAAAGAAATCAGAAAGGAAGTACTTTTTACTGTACACTTTTGCAATGATACTATACTGTAGTGTTCGCGAGGATACATGGCACACACCTCGAATAGAACATGGGAATGTGCAACTGGACAGTACTGTAGTACTGTCCAGTTGCAAGGGTACTGTGTAGCTTGGGTACTGTGTAGCATTCCGCACCGGCGCACCGGCATTCAGGGTACACTTGGGTACTGTAGCGCTGATACCTGGAATGACTACAGTGGAGCATTTAGAACTCTTCTTGCGCCACTATTTATGGCGTCGTATTGTATGATATGGAGATTGTTGATTCACTCACAATCAGGCCGATTGTGAGTCACAATCGCCGACGGCAACTACTGTACCCCTCAAAAAGGGTACAGTAGTACAATTGCGTGCGTAGAGGGCGGCATAGATGGGAGAACCCGGATGGGAAGGAATTTGAGCGTCCCCCTTCATGGTGGCCTGATGCAAGTCATACAGTATCCGTCGTCAGCCTTGGTTGTACAGTACTGTTCGTCCCGTACAATGTTCTGCAAGACAGGTCCGTATCATACAGTAGTGTGTTTGGACTCCTTGGGTGTGCACTGGACTCCAAGGATGATGATATCACACTACTGTATGATATCATCATCCTTGGAGTCCAGTGTAAGAGGACGCAGGAATGCAGCCAAATTCAACCTTAAACGAGAAGACGTATCTTCGCATTCCAATTCCCGATCTGGCCGCGGCAGTGGCCATCCCCACCCGTGTGATCCTACGTCATGCAAGTCTCTTATTTTACCCCTCAGCAAAGCGATGATACGACAGAAAGAAAGCATGACGGGCATGATCTGCTGAAATTATTTCGAAAAAACTTGTAATGTCTATTGCACGGCGAGCATTGCGGCAATAAGTGTTGCAGTTCTGGCAAGCTGCCCTGTGGACGCAGGATGCTCCAGTCACTCGCGTGACACAGCACGTACCTTCATATCTAAGGAGTGGTTGTACTGTACCACGGCACATCCAACTAAATCTCCGCCGTGGCGTGTATGCTTCGAGGTGTAGAATCCTTGCTCGAGGCTAGCGCCACAGTCCATTCTGCAGGTCTGCCCCACTACCCCTCTCCATCTTTCATGCCTCATTCTGCTCGCATGATTTTCAACCACCCCACCAAAAGCGTACCGAGAAGGACTAGCGCCGACCCGAAAAGCCCAGCCCAACTCGGCCTCTCACCTAGAAATACCAACCCCAGAATAAAAGCCATAGGTACGTCCAGATTACGGATGAGGATACCAGGGCCGGCACGGCACAGCTGAAGCCCCTTGTTAAGACAGCACTGCCCGCCAAAGGCGAACAACGCCGCGACCACCGACAGAATCACCCCTTGCTTCATTTCGGCCATTCCGGCGGGACCTATTGCACCCCCCAGAGCGGCCGAAGTCGCAATCGTCGCAGCACTGAAGGACCAGACAGACACCATGAAATGGATGGCGGTGCCCAGACTGCGCACAGCGATGTAGGCCACAGAGCTGAGAATTGCCGCCGCCAGCGCAGCCATAGACCCGAGTATGCGGTCTGCGGGATCGATCGCCGGACCAGAGCCCGGAGCTGCGACCAGCACCACACCTGTCAAACTTACGAGCGCTCCTAGCAATTCCAGACGATTCATTGGCTCTTTTAGCACAAAGTGGGAGAGTAGCATCGTGAACACAGGCCCGCTGAAGAAAATTGTGACGGCATCGCCGACAGGCAGGAGGCGAAGTGCAATGAAGAGAAAGACTAGGTCGAGTGCGCCGGCAATACCGCGGAAAACCAGTAGAATTCGTTGACTGTTGTTTAGATGGGAGACAAGAGTCCGAGAAGGAAATATGAAAGCCAGATACACCGTGGCAAAAGTGGTGTGCATCAAAGCGCGGATGAATGCCGAGGAAGTTGGGGGAAAGAAGTAGTTTTGTTCAGCGATATGAATCAGGAATGACATTGAAGAAAAGCCTATTGTGGATAGGCACATTAGAAAGTAGCCTTGCAGTTCAGATGATTGCTGATTAACTTGTTTCGTTGTTTTGAAAAGAAGCGGTTGAGTCTCAGAGATTTCCATAGGTGCGCTTTGTTTGTCAGGCACGGGAGATGCTTGAGTGATATCCACAATCATGACTGCGTGGAGGTCAATCCTGAAAAGGCCACTGCTGCTGTTAGCGATGGTCAGTCGGCGTGTGAAAATGCGACAGATCTTTGCGAAGGCCGGCGACGAAGGTAGGGAGGGTTAGTGGTTAGTGAGAAGAGGTCGTTCAGTCTCACACCACAATTGATATCTACAGTAGCCCTCTCATTCGGGCCCAATACAATGGGAGCCTCTGGAAAAAAAAATTGTGTCAAGAGTCATTTTTTTCCTTTTTGTGCACAAAAAATGAGTTTTGTCACGGAAAAGCTTGCGCACTGTCATGAGAGCCATATGCACACACGTTGCACACGTACAGCGATTAACTCACCACGATCGCCGCTGGCCTACGGATCACTAGCATCCCTAGATAGATAGACACGCGACCCCAATAAACCTAGGCATCGATCTTGCATCACACGCACACAACGGTAAGGAGGGTTGCCCTAATTATCGGTCACTTGCGAAGAAAATAAAATCAAAAGTAGAATTGATTGGTCATTCACGGACATTTTGGTGTCGTTCGCTTCTTGAAAGACCAGTGAATCACGCTGTTTTCTCCAAAAGCTCGAAATCAAAACCATATTCTCGCAGTTTACGAAACCAAAAGGGCCTTGAAAAAACGACTTTGTGCCTAAAGATCGGTCACCAGGTTAATTTGGCCCAATCAAACCAACGAAAAATATAACAAATTTGTATGCCACGTCATCGAGTGAACGAGTGGAAACCCTGTTGCGGACATGCCCGGCGCCGACGTTTATGTACAAGAGGGGGGAAGGCCGGTCCGAGGGGACTTGCAGGCGCGGCGCATGGAGAAAGACTGGGAGCGGGGCTACGCCGGCGGAGGGGGACTTGCAGGCGTGGCGCGTGGGGAAAGACTGGGAGCGGAGCGTACGCGGGCGGAGGGGGACTTGCAGGCGTGGCGCGTGGGGAAAGACTGGGAGCGGAGCGTAAGCGGGCGGCGGGGGACTTGCAGGCGCGGTGCATGGGTAAAGACTGGGAGCGGGGCATGTGCAGTGTTGCAGTGCGAAATGGGGCCGTGCCGGGCAGGGCGTAGCCGCGGTGGAGGACCCTGGCGCTGGACTGAAGTGTGTTTTATTGCTTTTGTCCGCGGGCATTGGCGGTGCGATATCGGGCAGCTGCACGCCTAACATGCGAAGGACGCACCCTTTTCCTGTAATCCCGTACAGTTTCACAGCAGAGTGTCGCGCAACGCGTGCATACATACTCTGACAACAGCTCGGATCGTTTTCGCTTCGCTTCTAGCTTGCGCGCTTCCTCCAATCCTTTCTTTCGCGCAGAAATTTTAGCACTGTTCCGCGCAGCCTGGCGTCTGTTCGCCCCCGCTCTCACTAATGAAAGCGCATTACTTGACGTCATGACCTCCCCGAAAGTCGTGTCCACGTACCCGTGTGGTTTAAGGATAGCGGTCTCTCCCAAGACAGCATTTCGTAGCTCTGCTTGTAGTATAGTAGCGGTCGCCAGCTATGAGCTAGCTCGAGGAAGAGGTAACAACCAATAGGGGGTGTCCCGCAGTAGATCGGGACTGTGGTAGAGCAACGGGGAAGTACGTCGGCCGACTGTAAAAGCACGACGTACTGGTCGAAGTGCGGACCCGGAATGGGGCCAGAACTGGAAGGGGTGGTGTAAGAACACACAAAACAGGGGGAATCCGAGCCTAAAGACTAGTGTCAGACACGGGCGGAGCGCCGAGTAGCGGGAACTCCTAGAGGGACGAGCGGGACAGATGTCAATAGTGCCGCCAAGGCCAGAGGCTTGTCGTAGCCCGCGACTTGACAATCGTCACAATGCAGGGAGAGAGAAATAGGCCGTGCGACAGTAATACGCCCAGGCTAGAGGCCAGTCTTAGCCCGCGTGGTCGCAACGACAGAGTAAAAAGGAAAACAATTGAAACGTCGAGCGACAGTAACACGCCGAGGTTAGAGGCTAGTCTTAACCCGCGTAGTCGCAAAGACGGAGGAATGGAAAAGGTAAAGTAAAGGCAATAGAAGCCAGGGAAACGTCGCAAGACAGATGCCGACAATGTCGCCTAAGTCAGAGGCTTGTCTTGACCCGCGGTGTCGCACCGTCGAAGGAAATCCGTTCCCAAAAGATCCTTGACTGTTTACTGTCATTGCCCGGCGCCGTCGCTTAAATAAGCGAGGTCGCGGGGTCTTGGACATTGTCCGTCCTACTGTACTACTGTACTCTATTATGTAATGCACTGTACTGTGCCATTACTACTGTACCTTGTCATATACAACCTCCGGGCTGTAATGTATACAGTAGATCTTCCGCCTGTAAGGCACACGTGTAGGCGTCCGCCTGTAATGCCCGTGTGAGCGTGCGCGTGCGCTTGTAATGCACACGTGTGGGCGTGCGCCTGTAATGAACAGGCGCCGTCGGGTACTGTACACATCCTGCCAATGATACCACACTGCTTCCTTGTTCTTGAAAAGCTCTTCCAGCTGCTCACAACCCAGAATCTCATTACTGTCAGCTGGAGATCTGGGTCGTGGCACGGACAGCAGCCGGTGCATGTCCAGAGGCCAAATACCAGACCGCCTAAAGGCGGCCTTAATGTTACCACTAATAAATGTGTCGTCGTACGCCTCAGTGATGACTGAGCAAATGTCAAATACATCGATCTCAATATTGTCTGCCATACCAATGTTTATAAACACATTATTCAGCTTTCTCTTAAACGTACCAAACACCACACAATCAAGAGGCTGTGTTTTGCCTGATGTATGGGCGGGCAAAGCATACACGACCACATTTCTCTCATGAAAGAATTCCAGAACGCGGAGAGATAAATGGTATCGATATCCATCATACACTAGTAGAGCTTTTCGGCCGTCCTTTAGGAGGTCCTGTATACTTTCCACAAAGAGGCAAGCCCAGTTCGCAAAAATGTCAGATTCCACTCCTCCTAGCTCTGCGCGGAGGGCCACAACTGCCCTGTGTGGCAGCCTACTTGCCGGCGTTTCATACACGACCGTCCCATCTCTTAATCCTGTCCTATACGGCATACGCTTCCCCTTAAAAACGAAGAGCGGTGGACCAGCTGTTCCAGCTGCTGAAAGGACCGGCATCATAGTGATACGGTCATCGTACTTGCAGTGCCCTGCACGGCTGTCTCCAGAGCTGCCCCGTGTGATATAGCGCTTACACTGCGTTTTAGAAGCTAGGTCCCGACCTGGTGTGATGCCGCACTCATCTAAGTTAAATAAGCGTTGCGTGTCTATGTTATTGTCGGCAATAAGGCGTTCGAGTTTTGCAAAGTGAGATGTTAGTATTTCGGCGCTGCAAGCAGCAAATCGCAATGCCTCCTGGCGGGTTGGTTTAGCGAATGTCAATATGTTACGATGCCGTGCCCGAAAGCCTCAGAGCCATTTTGGTCCCGGCTTTCCATCCCTGAAGGGAACACGAAGACGACGCGGAAGCACCATGTGACTAACAATAATGGCGGCAGCATCGGCCAAGTGGTCATTAGTCAGAGGAGTACCTCTGGCTGCCATCTTGGTAAGCAGAGAAACCATCATAAGTTCCTCCCTTTCATTAAGAGCTGGGCGGCGACCAACAGAGTTAGCAGTTGTTTTGCCGGACTGCACAGCAGATTGCAAGGTGGAGTATGCAATGCCGCTCCACTTGGATGCCTTTCGTATGCTCATAGACCCGGCGGCCACCATGTCAAGGGCTGCCTGTCGCCTGCCCTGCCGCGTTCGAGGTAATCGCGGGAGAGCGGCATGCATCTTGGAGTGAAGGGCTCGGATGAGATCTGAATGGTCGTTGAGGGCGGCCATGAGGGGCTCGGTTGGCAAGATTCGGTCAAAGAGCTAAAGCCCGCCTTTTTGGAGGGATT